GACCTTCCCCCTTTCCTGCTACGTCCAGCTCTCAGTGCTGAGGAAATGGAAACCGTAAACGGAGGAGGGCCCGCAAATATTGATGATGCTGTTCGTTCTTGGACGATGTCTTTGGCGTATCATCCTCAGCCACCAGCTCTGAAGTGGCCCCACGGTAACAAGGGTTCTAAGAGACAGGAGGGGCCCCTGAGGCGCGCGTCTGCCTGAAGGATTAGGTTGGTGTGGGATGCAGAGATGGCATCTTCTTGGTGAAGGCGTGGGCTGGCTTGGAGTGGAGAACTGAATGTTGCTAAACATTTGGCGACAGCCTGTAAACATTTGGCGACAGCCTGTTTTTAGAACAAGACTGCAGCGAAAATCAACGAGGAAGATACGGGGCGAAATGAATTATGAGGCAGATGCATTTATGCGCGCTTCACGGGCGCGTGGAGATATTTATACATGTGCATCTCTCCTGGGTGCTCCGACATGCGTATTTAAGCCTATATGCACAAAGACGTAGTTGGAACGGTTAGTAGCGTTTCAGTGTTACTCCTCTACACTTCATTAAGGAGACACCGTTGACTGGCTCGTATTGTGGGTACAGAAACCGTTTGTGAGGCCCACAGATCGACTTGACATAGGTTAGAAAGATTTGCTTGTAAGCAAGGGCACTCACAAGCTTGGGGTGCTCAAGCAGCCAAGCATAAGGCCTTCGGGGCCTTCAGAGACAAATATACGCATGAATGTGTGTGTTGTGGTCACTGCCGAGCTGGGCTGGGCATAGGGCGGTTGCCTTCCTTGCCATTTTCGGGAGGCTTATGTACAGCATATATCCAACCTTTGCGCAGAGCTGGGTTGGGACTCGTCACAGGGCGGTGAAGCTACATGAACACCAGCATATCAGCTGTGTATGGCACTCGCGCTGTCCCTGCTGTACTGCGTGTAAGGGTCCTCGCAGCCTCTGCTCATCGTTGGATGCACGCACGGCCAAAGCCTAGTAGGCTGCAGCTTTGCTCGCTGTGACATTTCGTGGAACGGCACCGAGGGGGTCAGGGTGGTAGAGCCCTGAATACTTTGGTGCCGCGACCACAAGGATTTGATGCTGACTGCAGAGCAGCCGACTTAGAGCGTATGCCTGTGGCGTCTCCACGTTTGTTGTTCGTTCAGCACCGCAGCTGCTTAAGGGCACCCAGTTTGCTTCGTGGCGCACCGGTGGCATAGCAAAGTGAGCACTTTATGAGCTAAATGGGTACGAAGAAGCGCTGAAGTACACTCATCTATGTCTGAAGCAGACGACGACGCCAAAGTCTTGCTCCCGGCAGTGGCCCTCCGTCTTGCTGATATGTCCTGCGCTCGCCGCTCGCTTGCATCTTGAGGCATGGAAACACGCCTAGCGTGCTGAAATAAAGTTAGCGAGCTAGGTTCAGTGTATGTACCACATAGTTTATACGCCTGACTGGCGGTGAAGTTAAATCGCCATCAGTGTGGGTCCAGAGGTAGATCTGCATAGATTACGGCTTTGTGCGCTCGTTTAATACGGGACAGTACCTCGAGGAGGAGCAGTGTTCATTGGTGTATGCAGTCCTCACATGTTTCGGTCATGTTGAATACTCATGTTTTTATGCAGAAAGCTTTGTCAACTAGTTGGCTTCGGCGCTGAACAGACGTCAATGGGTCAAATGGCATGGAGCCGAGGAGCGTGGGAACTGCATGCAACGTGCCTGCATGCCTCTGCTAATCGGGCTAATGTTTGACTGCGGGCCATGCATTGAATACTCTGCAGATCCTGCAAAGACAGTTGCAAAGTCTACAGGATTTAGTCCTGTGCTTGCTCCTATTTCCAATCAATCCTCGGGTGGAGACCACTAGGGACTCATGTGGGCTCCACTTGACTTCGCTTTTACTTCTTCAAATTCACGTACACTCCCTGGGAGTTCGCGAGAGCCATAAAGTCAGAATGCGGCATCTCCTTCACATTGAATTTGGTGGCGTTGGAGGGGACAACGGCAAGGCATTCAAATGCATTTATGGTCACTTCTTGGCCCACTTCGACAGGGCTTAGCTGGGAATGCAAAAAAAACAGGGACAAAGGCGAGTTGCATGAGTACTCTTTTATTTATTAACAGCTACAGCACCCACGACTGCCGTCACAGAAGGGAATGCGCTTTACCAGTAAAAGCGAACAAAATAATGTGCTCAGTGATATATTCATTCTCACCTTGCCCTTATTGAACATAACCACCTTAACTTTAGGTGGAGGCTCCGCGACAGCCGCAGGTAGGAGTACTATGGTGCCGCCATGAGCTGAAAGCTGCTTGAAGAAAGTTGCCCATCCCTCGTAGTATTTGATGCGATCCGCTGGGAACTCACTGGCCATGGACTTCTGCAGCAGCAACAAAAAAAGCAGCGCTAAAACGGGGAATGTACACGTGAACCAAGCAAATGCAGGACATGAGTAAACACACGGTCAGCCACCAGATGCGCATATGCTGTGCACTAAGTACAGTCCACGTTTACTAAAATCATGAGACAACTTTGTACACCAGCATGCTGTAGCGGAAGCTCGCAGTGTATCTGCTCGTCTTCAATTCTTTTGTCCTGTGCTTCGTTTAGTTTGTACACTGATTTTTCTCGTGTGTTCACCTCGCAGTCTGTCGCATAGATTTCGACGGCAGACTTCTTCTCGAATTTGTAGTCAGCAACTTCCTTCTCTGGGCAGAGGTAGGCCAATATTCCAGAGCCTGTAAGGGGCGTTTTGCTCCATTGGTTCTTCAGTCTGCCCCCCTCCGCGTCTGTGTAGACGAGGTAGGCACCGAGACCGACAGAAAAGGTGGGATCCGCCACCGGAGGCGGTGGCCCAACACAGGCTTCCTTAGGAGGAGGAGGCAGCCCTGCAGCCTTTCCAGTGAAGAAAGCTGGGCTGCTCTTTGGGGCTTTCTTGCCTGCAGGTCGCACCTGTCTCCGGGGCTTGGGTTTCGGCTTCGCTGCTGCAGTCCTAGGCCCGGCAGCTGCGGCTGCGTTGGTTTGGTCTGCCTCAGAATCAGCGGCAGCAGCAACTTCTCCTTCACCCTCATCTCCTTGATACTTGTCGGCTGCATCTTCGGCCTCTTCCGCCTCAGCTGCTTCAGTTTTTGCCTCCTCAGCTGCCTCAGTTTGGGCCTCTTCTCCTGTCACCACCGTCTCCTCTTCGTCGACCCCTTTGAGGGACCCCGCTGGGCGGCAACAGCAGCAACAGCATGGAAAGCAGAAGTAGAAAAAGGGACAGGGCGAGCCCCTCTTGCAGCAGTTGTAGCAGCACCTGCAACAGCCGCAAACGTCCGCCAGGCAAGGACAGCACCATAAGGTGGTTGCTGTCGGCGCTTTGGGGTTTTCTTCCCTTAAAGCTTCTTCTTTAGGCATCTTCGAAGGAAATGAAATACGGAAAACACAAGGAGAGTCGTATTTCAATAACAGCAGCGCGGGCGGTCAACGTAGAGGCATCACCCGCAAGGCGAGAACCAGTAGGACACCCAAGTTGAGCAAGGAAGAAAATGCCAACGACTCTTGGATGCAGAAAAGAGCAAAAGAAAAGAGGAGTCGCAAAGCAACATAACAGCCAGAGGCCAGAAACAATGTTTTGTGTGGGGCCAAGCTAGCGGCGGCCCACGGCCGTTCGTCGATGCGCCTAAACACTGAAAGTGCAGTCGCAAGCTGATTTGCAGTTTTCCTAAGTTCTACTGCAAAAAATACACACTGAAAAATGTTCCTGAATGAAAACTGATAGAAATGAACTCTGAAACCCTTGAAACATCCAGATAGATTATCCCAAGCGCTCTCCAGCCAAATCACAGCAACCACTGGACTGCACACAATCACATGAGCCCCAGAGTCTCCCTCCACTTCGTCTCATCAAAACGAAATAATCGTCCGTAATTCTGTATTTACGAGCTGCTTACTAGTCCGACCAACAAATGCTCGCGATGCGGAATGGTCCGCTGCTGGCGAGTGGCAAACTTGAGGAGACGCCGCAGTTACGAATTCGAAATGGAAGATTCCACATTTTTCAGAGTACACCCATACTCACCGAAACCACATTACATCCGCTACTGATATATAACTAACGGGCTACACTTGGTTAAAAGGTCGCTACTGCGCCACACTTTCTGTCTACGCTCCCAAGCCGACTTGAAGCATAACCCGCATGAAGAGACACTATACAAACAAAAAGTAAACTAGTGTCCCAAGCTCCATAGTCTAGATCGCAAAGTGCCGCCTAATGCTTCGACGTGCTGACTACGTAAATTCCCATACAACTTCCGCAGTGTTCTGTTGCGCAGCAAATGGCTTGTAAATATGTGCCAGCAAAATGAAAAGGGATATATCTACGAGCATGCAACCCCGCAGCAACGGAGCTGCATAGGGAAGTAATGGGCTTCATAGAGCTGGGGGAAACTTCAAAGGTAACGCTGCCACAGGGCGAACCTAGGAGAGGAGCCGCCTTGTCAGCTCGACATTCCTCAGTACATGTGACCATTGGTCATCTCTTTGGTGCGAAACCTTGCGGACCAGCTGAAAGAATAGCAGCGGGCCACAAAATCACCGCTCAAGACTGTTTCACGTCCTTGAAGTCTAACGCCCAGCGAATGGGCGTTAGACTTCAAGGACGTGAAACTACGCGTGCTTTTGCCGATCAGTGCTCCCAGATCTTGTGCATGAACTCTATGAAATCAGCTTGCACTGATCCCCTGCAACGTTATTTGTGAAGCCGGCGTGATACAGATGCTAGCTTACAATCTGCACTGTCTTGGCCTCCCTATACATCTCGCACTTGGCGACCAATTCAAACCTGAACTCCTGATTCAAGCCAGCAAATCAACTCGGTCATCTTATTTCCTTGTACCTAATTAGCGGATGCCTGCTTTGCATCCTGGGAGAAGGGCAATCCCCGCTTTCTTGCTTGTTGTGTGCACTACGCGTGAGCTTCATGCTTCTGTTCTCATCTCACTTCGGCTGTCTCGACACTATCATTCTACATACTCTTACGCCGCTTTACAGCTTAGCCCCCCCTTCAATCCTGAATAACCCACAGAAAATGCCAGCTGGCGCAGTATGTCGGCGAACTTTCGGCCTCGCGTGTCTTGGCCACCTGCCTCGAGCTTGCACAACCCTTCGGCTGTCACGTCGGCTACATTCATGATATCCTAAAAACATCAAAACCACAGTAGCTGCTCAGCAGCACGAATTAGTGGGAGAACAAGATCGTACGTGCGCATACAATTGCTGAGTCTTCTGTTGCTCGCAGATGCCTATCGCAAGCAAACTAAGACGTGTCGTGACAGTCAAAGGGCTGTGCAAGCTGGAGGCAAGCGGCCAAAAGGTACACATAGCAGAACGTTCGTCATGCTGCGTCGGCGGGCATTCTCTCTGTGTTATTCTCAGCAGTCTCGATGACCGTTTGCAACAAAAGGGAGGCAACGAAGTCCATAGCAGGGAAAGAGGCGCCAGCATGGGCAATAACTGCAATAAATAATAACAGCAGTGCTGCACGTTCACCTGTCCTTGGTCTCCCAGAGCTACGCAGTTGAGAGTACCAAAGGCATCAATCAATTTCAGACTTAGCATCCACCTGCATATGGTCATTAACAGCACAAACGTATGCACTGTTCGAAGGAAATAAAACGAAATGCATCAAACACTGCCTTCTGAAGCGCTCTTGCAGCTGCTATCTTTGCACGTCTGCTAATGCTGCGGTCGTCCCATCTTTACAGCTACTTGTAGTTTCATGCATGTTTCCTTGCATTCACGCCCAAATGCGCCTTTTCGTTGAAGCCTGGTTCTTCTTCACTTGCAAACAAGGCCAAGCCACTGGCAGCCTGGACATGAGTAGATACTGCAGCCGAATGAAGCATCAGATGAGAAACAATACAAGGATCCAAAGTCATGCACAATCTTACCGAGGCTGGGGTATGACTGCCTTGCGACAGTTGGTGCACTTGTAGGCCGCTGCGACGGTAGCGGTAGGTAGCTCCTTTTGAACCTTTCGTTTGCACTCAGGGCAAGCACTAAAAAGAGGACGAAAAACAAGAAGACAGACAACCACATATACAAACCTAAATCCTCACGTGAACAGCACACAGAGGATTCCAATTGTGCAATACATTTACTGACTAATCTTGGGTCAGGCCCGTGCTACTTCGGCAAGACCACCATCAGCCGCCAGAATTCACCCCTTATTTGCTTCGTTTGATGATAATGCGCTGGGGGGAGCAACAATAAACCTTGAGAGCTAAACCGTGAATCGTGGAGACTCAGTCCCTTAAACGTCACCCATAAACTTGAGCTCTACAAAATTCAGAATGTATACCCACAACCAAATGAGTTTCCCTCCCCTCAGGTCGAAGACACTCGCAGACGTGGTGAACGTTTTTGAGGTCCCCAAATCTTCCGTTTCTAACTCTTTTGCAGCATTTTCAATTTCCAGAAGAGTCTGTCCAGAGCCAGGTGGCTACGCAAAATGTTCATGCATGGGAACACTTGTCTATTCCGTTGTAGATTTACATATATCCTCTGCATCTGTATACGCATGTTACTGCGATTGTATGCATGCATTTATTATTACACATTCTGTATGCTACAAACCCATTTATGCATCGGCTCAAACATGTGCGCATCTGTGCGCAGTTGTAGACACTTAAGCGTACACAAAACACACACGCACTCCTTGCCCGCAAGCCATGTCAAATCGTGCCACCCCCACTGTCTAAGCTAAGATGCTAATCACCTGCGGGCCAAGGGCTTTACTGCATTTACTAAGGTGGTGCAAAGCAGCAATCTTCCCACTTGTGCGCCACCACTGCCGTTCTCCTTTCAGTGCCTCTCTTTGGACCCCCGAGGCAGCTGCGAGCTCTCCGTCTGCAAACTCTTCGCCCACTTCAGCCGGCTGCGTGGGAAACCAAGTCATATTCATCTGTGAAGACGACGCCAGGCAACACTGCCCCGCATATTCGCTCACCTTCGCTCCTGCAAAGAGAACAACGGTAGGCCCCCAATCATACTTGTGCATCCACTTAGCGATACAGCTTGCTTATCGGCATCGGAAAAACGAAAGCATGCACTACAGACTGGTAAACTACCACGGGCTTACCCTTGATTGCTGCTAGCGGTGTGTTGGTCAGGGCGACCTGTGAGAGCTGCAAGGCTTGCGGACCGAAAAGCGAAAGGGATACGAAAACTCCAGATGAGTCCACTAGGGTCAAGTCCCGTCTGACGAGTTCTTGGTTCTTTACCTTTTCAAATGCACAGAAAGCTGTAAGTTATACATGCCTCACGATGAGCACAAGCTAAGGGAAAAGCCTCATTGCTCACTCTGAGACTTCAAAGCGCTCCCCTTTACATGCCACACATCATACAGGTAATCTGCTTAACACACCCTCGAAAGGATAGTTTGGGGCTCCTTTGCCTCTACAACAAAGACAAGTACGTCGACGACGGTTCCTGCAGGTTGATTCGACAGGTCTGCGAGTAGAACTCGGTCAAATCTGCGCCATGGGGAGACAGGCAGCAAGAACAGTAGAGCAGAAGATTGTGGCGGACAAAAAGCAGCAAACGTACACAGAACAAACCAGGGGATAAATTTGAGGGGAGGATGTTCAGAAGTGAATGAGCTCTAATACATGGCAGCTTCAGGAATTGAACTTATTCGCGAAATTGCCCTCATGTGTGGCAAAAACAGGCCGAAATCGAATTGCCCCCCCATCGAAAATAAACAGCTCACACCTGCAATGAAACAGGGGAAGCCGCTTACTTTTGAAATGGAATAGAAAGATCGTCATCTGCTTCTTCTATCGCCGCAGAGGAATCAAATTTGATTTGTACTTCATGGGTTAGAGAAGTATGCGATCTGCACGGGCAGCAATTCACATAGATCCCTAAATTCTGAACCCTAGACCCGCACACAAAAGCGTCCAAACAGCACAGAAACATTAAGTGTGTAAGTGATGGGCTGTGGCACGTGACCATAGAGTTCAAAGGCAGCCACCTGCTGGCCCGCTGCAGAGATCCTCTGCTAAAGGTGTAGACGCGGCCCGTGTGCAGTCGTGGGTACCACGTCACCGCAGCACGGCCAAAAAACGTCGCTCGGATTTCCGTGGCCTGAAAAAAGAAGCGTTCAGGAAGCTTTTCATCACAACACCAATGAGCCAATAGCTGGCTGCGTAGAGAGCTGACGTGAGTGTAGGCGTGACGCGGAAATAAATACTCTTTGTGGCAAGCTTGGAAGTCGCATAGCACGGGAAAAGAAGGGAATGTTCAGACCTGTGCGTCTATGAGGTGCACTGTGAAGAGACTGCTTTCCCCCTTGGCATTTGCGAAACCCTTAACCTCACTCCTACACAGCGAACAGAGCGCATCCCCAAAGTGCGTTTTATTAGTAAACACCAACGTGCTTCTTAAGGCATGCACAAAAAATGGCTGTGGTCCACCGCGTCGACGCAATGAACGCACTTGTAAGATATACGGGCTAGCAGCTCCCAGTGATGAGAGTATAGGTGCAGGTCACGGATTGTTGTACGTACGCCTCGTTGCACCTTTGCCACGGGGCCATTGCGACTACGGGCATAGACAGTTGAAGAATTTGGTTCCTTCTCTGAATGCAAAAAGACACTAAGCAAGAAGGAACATGCCATGTATATATGAATAACGTGTACAACAATTGACTGTAAATCTGTTCAGGCTGGGAGTTCTGTCGTTACCCTTTAGGCCTTGTTTTTATGAGCACCAGTTCTGCCCAAGAGAAAACACTCAGTCAGCCGGTGTTGAAAAATGTTGTTTTTAACACTCATATATGGTGTTACGCACGTTGTTCTCCACTCTCGCCCCTCAATTTCACGCGTTTACTCCCTGATGCTGCTCGCAGTTCTGTATCTGTTGGGTCATTTGTAGAAGTTATCGTGCGTTTTGCATTCAGAGTTTCCTTGCCGTCTGCTTCGGCGGTGTAGAGTGAATGCACGACAAGCAAACCACCCTGTCTGTTCCATCGACCGGGCAGTAATTCCACATCCGCCACCACAGGCGTGAGCCGACCCCTAACAGAGATAATTCACAAGGGCTCGTTACCCTCCGTCCCACAAATTTGGGCCTTTGAGTCAGTTGGGTGGGCACAGTGGCTTAATTAATTACTGAAAGCTCGTATGATGGCTCTTTCTGCTGAATTACCAAATGGCGCAAAAAGCAGGTCAGCACATCATGTGGTCGGCACCTACTTGACGCGGCACTTCGAATAAACTGTTAATGCGATAAATCTGTTCACCAGCAGCTCAGGCCTGCACGGGACTGCGTCTTCTCTCATCAGCAAGCGGCCGTATTGATACTGCAAGCCTACAGGCTGCTCTTTTCCCGCGGTTAATGTTGGCTGCGCGTATGTCTTCCCGGTTGTTACGCCTGCAACGCCATTCGCCCGTCTCCCAGCATCTTCTTCAGCATCACTAGCAGCGACACTTCCGTCAGCAGCGAGGACTCTAAGTGCATCCGCAGGAAGAAGTCAATGCACAAATATCAAAACCTCAGCAATCTACTAGTGCTTTGCCGCGCATCTGAGAGTCGTTGAATGGTTGCTTCCTGTCAGTTACAAGAAAACCGGACCGCTCTGAAGCGCATATCCTAACCCCAACACCTATCGCCTAGAGGCGCAGCGACGCTGTGTATCAGGACAGTTTAATTGCACAATCTAAACGCACACAAGAATATATACGTACAGGGTCATGACTGTTGTTAACCTGGGAGGGAATAGTTCTGGACGTACAGTATGTGGTCTTTACCAACAGCAGAGAAGGAAACCACTGCTAGGACAGGCCCTGGCCACATAGAGCCACTCGCGAAGGCGTCCCAAAACCCAACAGAGAGGGTGGGCATAGCCTGTAGTGCTGGTTCATTCTGCTGCTCGCTATCGTCCACACACATGCGGTTCTACTATCGGAGAAAAGTAGTTTTACGTGGAGGTGAGCGAGTCGGCAGCTACAAAGAATAACGGAGGCACCCCGGTGCTTTCTGGAGCAAATATCGAAAAACTGGGTTACAGAGTTGGTCGCTCGGTACAGAAACAGACTAGGTTTTACTGGAGAGCTCGATTGGGGGTGATGGACGGACGCACACCTTTGATAGCGATACCCGTACGTTCCAAACGGTGTGAATATATTAGCCACAAAAATGGCAGACCTTGAGTCTAATGAATTTTCGTACCCGCAAGAGCCTACGCGAGTTACTTTCTTGAAACATACAAATGGCTGCAGCCCCAGATAGCTTAGCCAAGCTGTGGTTGCTTTCTACACAGGTGCAAACCCTGTGACTAGCTACTGGAATTAATGTTGTATATTTGAATATGCAAATAAGCTTACTAGTAGGTTGTCAGGAAAGGGCTTGCTGTAAGCACTGTGTTGGCCAGTGGGCTTCATCATACAACGGTAGTTCCGATGCACAGCACACAACCCGCCATTTTCACTTTTCCATGCCCGCGAAATTAGCTAGCGCTCCATGAGCAACACTCACTTGTGGAATATAATCGGACATTCAGCGTCCAGACCGCACTCTCCAGCCGACAGCGGACACTTCGCACCCTCACCACTGGTCGATCTTGGTGAGCGACCCCCACAAAGTATGCCATCAAAGCAGCTATACCGAGCTGCGGGGCTCCGGCTAATGTTTCTTTCCGCAACGTTGGAGACCCCAACTCATAACGTCCGAATCCACCTACCATACCTCCCCGGTGGTTGTCTTTCCGGTGTCTTTCCCTGTCTCAGCCACCGCCTCGGAACGGAGTGCCCTAATTTCTTGGTTCATTAGTTCAGCAGAACAGCCAGCACGCCGTATCACTAGCAAGAGCCAATTATACACTAACCTAGCTACCGTTGGGTCTACAGTCCCGAGCCCCATGAGGTCAAAGCTCACCACCGAAAAGGAGACTGTCAAATCGGGTGATCCCAGTGTAGGATCTAGCCCTCTGGGAATTTACAGCGTACCTTCAAGCCTACACGCAGAGAGGCTTCCAGATGCTCTACCGAAACCACTACACAACTCGCACAAGCTGTCTATTATGGTTGGCGGTGAAATGGTACACCACTACTGCTTGTACCTGGAAAGTCTACCGTCATATGCAAACGGCGGGGTTAAAATGGTCTGCGCCGTCGGACATTTGGGAACGTCCCCGCGGAAAAACGAAGGGTTTTACCGCATTAAAACTAAACCATGAGCACCAGGTTGTACGCGCAACGTAGCACCCGACAGGTTATGCAACAGCCGTCAGGCTGAAACTACGCTCAAGTATGCGCCAGTCACTAACTGTGGAACTCACAACACCCGCAGAACGCAGGCATCCGAGCTGCAACGGACCTTCCACTCCCTGCGTTGGGCGAGTGGCCGAACCGCACCTGGCAACACCAAAATTGCGATTAGACCGCAGAAACGCACATTGTCGCTGAACCCATGCAACTCAACAATTCACTGGCTGTAATTGACCAACTAACTACGCGACCTAGGCTCCACAAAAGCCTCCACCACAGTGGCAGCAGACACCAAACCAATGCGTCACTTCAAAAGCTCAGACAAGCATTTCGCTGTACGACTTCATTCGCGGAACTGCCCACACAGGCGGCCATCACTAGTGCAAAAGCCAGCCTGCAACTGTATATCTTCGGTTCTCGCTGGAGTCTCTGCGCGACGTAACACCTAATTGGCACTGCAGAGGCCGTCAGGCTGACACTGCGCTCAAATTTGCGCCAGTCACTAATTGTGAAGCCCCCAGCACCCGCAGAACGCAGGCATCCGAGCTGCAACGGATCATCCACTCCCTGCGTTGGGCGAGTGGCCGAACCGCACCTGGCAACACCAAAATTGCGATTAGACCGCAGAAACGCACATTGTCGCTGAACCCATGCAACTCAACAATTCACTGGCTGTAATTGACCAACTAACTACGCGACCTAGGCTCCACAAAAGCCTCCACCACAGTGGCAGCAGACACCAAACCAATGCGTCACTTCAAAAGCTCAGACAAGCATTTCGCTGTACGACTTCATTCGCGGAACTGCCCACACAGGCGGCCATCACTAGTGCAAAAGCCAGCCTGCAACTGTATATCTTCGGTTCTCGCTGGAGTCTCTGCGCGACGTAACACCTAATTGGCACTGCAGAGGCCGTCAGGCTGACACTGCGCTCAAATTTGCGCCAGTCACTAATTGTGAAGCCCCCAGCACCCGCAGAACGCAGGCATCCGAGCTGCAACGGATCATCCACTCCCTGCGTTGGGCGAGTGGCCGAACCGCACCTGGCAACACCAAAATTGCGATTAGACCGCAGAAACGCACATTGTCGCTGAACCCATGCAACTCAACAATTCACTGGCTGTAATTGACCAACTAACTACGCGACCTAGGCTCCACAAAAGCCTCCACCACAGTGGCAGCAGACACCAAATCAATGCGTCACTTCAAAAGCTCAGACGAGCATTTCGCTGTACGACTTCATTCGCGGAACTGCCCACACAGGCGGCCATCACTAGTGCAAAAGCCAACCTGCAACTGTATATCTTCGGTTCTCGCTGGAGTCTCGGCGCGACGTAACACCTAATTGGCACTGCAGAGGCCGTCAGGCTGACACTGCGCTCAAATTTGCGCCAGTCACTAATCGTGAAGCCCCCAGCACCCGCAGAACGCAGGCATCCGAGCTGCAACGGATCATCCACTCCCTGCGTTGGGCGAGTGGCCGAACCGCACCTGGCAACACCAAAATTGCGATTAGACCGCAGAAACGCACATTGTCGCTGAACCCATGCAACTCAACAATTCACTGGCTGTAATTGACCAACTAACTACGCGACCTAGGCTCCACAAAAGCCTCCACCACAGTGGCAGCAGACACCAAATCAATGCGTCACTTCAAAAGCTCAGACAAGCATTTCGCTGTACGACTTCATTCGCGGAACTGCCCACACAGGCGGCCATCACTAGTGCAAAAGCCAGCCTGCAACTGTATATCTTCGGTTCTCGCTGGAGTCTCGGCGCGACGTAACACCTAATTGGCACTGTAGAGGCCGTCAGGCTGACACTGCGCTCAAATTTGCGCCAGTCACTAATTGTGAAGCCCCCAGCACCCGCAGAACGCAGGCATCCGAGCTGCAACGGATCATCCACTCCCTGCGTTGGGCGAGTGGCCGAACCGCACCTGGCAACACCAAAATTGCGATTAGACCGCAGAAACGCACATTGTCGCTGAACCCATGCAACTCAACAATTCACTGGCTGTAATTGACCAACTAACTACGCGACCTAGGCTCCACAAAAGCCTCCACCACAGTGGCAGCAGACACCAAATCAATGCGTCACTTCAAAAGCTCAGACAAGCATTTCGCTGTACGACTTCATTCGCGGAACTGCCCACACAGGCGGCCATCACTAGTGCGAAAGCCAGCCTGCAACTGTATATCTTCGGTTCTCGCTGTAGTCTCGGCGCGACGTAACACCTAATTGGAACTGCTGAGACCGTTAGGCTGACACTGCGCACAAATTTGTGGCAATCACCAAATGTGAACATCCCTGAACTTGGAGAACCAACATGTGAAAAAACAAGTCAAGGTACGCGGAGCCTAGCGAACGGGAGCTGGCAGGATTACAGGTGACGTGCTTGCCACGCTGTTCATTTGTTGGGCACCACAGCACAACGTGTGCAAATAACTACTGTGAATTGTGCCACCAGCATGCATAATTCAGTTAGCTTCATGAGATGCGCATGGATAAGCACCTCACAAAACTGGCAACGCATATCCAAGATGTGCGCACACACTTAAACTGCTGGCCAAAACTCTGACCACCAGTGGCTGGGTGGCGTGCCTGTCTTTCGTCCAGACGGCTGAATTTTAGTGTTGCCTCTCAGCAAATTTACCGGGACGCCGGCTGTAAGTAGACGCAGCAGACGCGCTCCATGAGGCAAGCAATGAGCATCCACCCTTCTGGTACAATTGCTTAAACGCTAACGAAATGGAAGTGCTTGACTCGGCAACCACGGTAGAGTAGCAGTAAATGCAGGTATTTGTTGGAAAAATATGCGCAAACTTAAATCTACTGTGTTCATACCAAGGCAAAATGGCTGTTTTGTGGAAGCCACTGCCAGTCTATGCGCGTTGCCAGTGCAACACCTTGAGCAAAGGCTGCCCAATACGTCCTCTGAGGCAAAATCATCCCTTACACATCGAATCGCCCTAGAACTCAAATATTCGGTCGCGTGCTGCCGTTATCGCTGCCCAGCCGAATAGATGGGTAAGAATGAGTCGCAAATATATTTAATTGTATGTGAGAGGACTGCTGAACTTGATGCGAAACGGATCTCGCTGGTCTGAGTTGCCTCTGTACTCTCCACGATCGCCCCTACTCTCTCCGCGATAATCCCCTCTGTAATCCCCGCTTCCTCTGTTGCCCCTGAAGCCGCTGCCCCTGTAGGTCCCCCTACCCAAACCGCGTCCCCTAGCGCCCACAGGGTTCAGCCCTGCACGACCGCGGAATCCTGGTCTGCTGCGGTGCCCCCCTCCGTCTTCACGGTCACGAGTGCCCCAGCCAGCCCTGTCGCCGTCTCTCATAAAGCGCCGCTCGTGTGTTAAAGCAAACCTGCGCGATGTATGCGCATCAACCTTCTTTGACATATGCATACATAGATGTTTACAGATAAACACATGCACAGGTGCACAATACACCATTAACTCACAGCAAAATCGAAGCAAGAAGAACGGAAAAATACTCACTTCGGATTTTTCATGTTGAGGGTCAGCTCGTTCTGTTCAACGGCATTCGCCACATTTTCCGCAAGTGTCAGTGCCAGCTGCTGAAGCCGCGTATGCTTGACGCGACTGATTAAAATGAACTGGCTTG